GCGTCGGGAGTTTGAGACCCTGGCTGGGCACATCCCTCTTGCCCAGGATCGTTGCATGCGCCCCCCTGCCCTGGCCAGGAAGGGCGCGTGCGCGAATCCCTTGGTCAGAGCGGGCCCAGCCGGGATCGGGACAGATGTGTACGGCCAGCGCCTTCCTGCAGAGGTGCTGCCGGCAGCTGGCTTGGCGATCCGAGAGCAAAGCAAGACACCTCAGAGGAGGAACAGGTAATTACCGATGCCGCTACCCTTGCCTCGTCTTCCCCTTTTGGGTGGCTTCCTAGGAGGCCTTCATCGCCACGGCTGGATTCGCTTCGAAATTCTGGTCGAACCCCACCCACGCAGAGGTCTCACCTCGGGAAGCAGCGGATATTGGCAGAACCGCAAACTTTCGGAGCTCCGCGAAGGTTTCTCCGATCGACGCTGGAGCCCCCTCGAGCGCGGAGCCCGCCTGAGGCGGCGCCGGAGTCGCCGCTACAGGGCCCCGAGCGCCGATCCAAGAAATCTGCTCGGAGCTTCGAAAAATATTATGCTTGTGTCATTGGTCCTTCGTCCACTACACCCATCAGAAATCTTAATCATCAGCATCAAGTTTCATGGACTCCTGACTTCGCTGGAGATAACCAAGAATCTGGATTTTGCCCCGATCGTGTTCTTGTTACCTTTTTGTCGTAGAGTTCCTGTACATCTGTACCTGGACTGCTGATAGAGAACGCCTGGAGTGAAGCCCCTTCTCCTAGCTTGAGGCTTCCTTAACTCAAAGCAGGGATGATCGGTACAGTCAACCCGCATAAGAAGGATGAGCAACCTTCCCAAGGGTACCCTTGCATCCTTGCCTCCTCGGTCTATCCTTGGCCGCTTCGGCTGGCCAGCCTCGTTCGAAAAACGCTCACGTGGCACTCCAAGGCCCTTGCATCCTCACCGCGCATCCTTGTTGTACGGGTTGCCTGCATCTTCTGGCTCCCTCGCTGCCCGTGCCGCTGCCTCCAGGCCTCTCCCGGGGCGACCAGGGACCCCGAGCGGCGAGCACGGCCTCTCGGCGGCGCGGGCCGCCCGGGAGGCCGAGGGGCCAACGCGCTCGGGCATCCGACGCCTCGGCCGCTGCCACGCGGGGCCCCAATCCGAGGCGGGAATTCATCCAGATCCACCGCCTGGAGGGTCAGTTTTCGGAGCCTCGGCAGGCGGTGGATGTGGACTTATTCGGGCCCCCGGGGGGCCGAAATACATCCACATCCACCGCCCGCTGGGGCACCAGGACGTCGGTTCCCAGGCGGTGGATATGGATAAGTCCCCGCCTCGCACCCAAGATAATCGAATGAGAAAAAGCGCCATAAGCATGACCTTTCGGACCGGCGAGCCTCCAGCCCGACTGTGTGTGTGTGTGTTCAAGACGCTGGGCGATCTTCACCACCCACCGAACCACCCCAACCCAACCCGAAGGCTCCAACCTGCCCTCCATTCAAGGTGGGGGGGCGCCGGGGAGCATTAGGAAAACACATGTGGAACCCGTACCCGCCCCAACCCGAAACTTGGGTCTTCGGGTTAGGTTGGGGTGGTCTGGTAGGCAGTCAGTTCAAGACGCTAGGCGATGTTTTGCCTTATTGCGGAGGCCTTACGTCGACTGGACGTAAGAGTGACCTTTCGCCAGAGTGAGCTCTGGTGCGGGCCCAAATGGGGTCCCCCGATCGCTGACCGCGAAGCGGATTAGCGGCGGCTTGCGCGCTTGGTTCTGGCCCCCTCGCGCCCCCCACTGAAGCCGCGCACCAAAAATCATTCTTGCCTGGTGTCACTCTGGCAGATAAACCAGGACACGGAAAACCAAGTTAACGACATCCTTTCCTGCAAAGTCACGTTTTTCAGTACCCATGCATGTTTTGTTTGCTGCACTGCAGGATTCGGGAGTGTGTCCGGGTTTAGGGGGGTCTTGCAGGCTTTTGAGGCTTGTGTCCAGGTTTATTTTGAACATGTTGCAGTGCAGTATATTGTTCGTGCCGCCGTTGGGACAAATTGGTTTCGAGGGATGTTGGGTGTCCGGGTCTAGCGTGTCCGGGTCTACGGGGCCCTGACTCTTGGGAGCCTCTTGGGGGCCTCGTTGGTGGCCTCGGCGATTTGCCTCATTTCGGGCCTCGTGACCCTCACGGACCGATCTGGCTCGGCAAATGCCGCAAAAAGATTGGGTCCAGAGCTCCAGTCGAGATTTTCGCGGGGTCGCATTTCTGTTCGCGGCGTCGGATCTCCGAGGACGCCTGATGCTCGGGTGTAGGTCGGGTCTCGGGGCTCAGATAGCGCTTCCAGGATCTCACCTGGGAGTCCGTGAGAGAAGTCCAGCCTTGTGGAGGACGATCAATAGGGAGGAAGCATGTTGCCAACTAATGTCCAGATGTCCAACACAGGCTTTAAACATGTAATACCTGGGGAAAAAAAGGTTTTAAACATGTGTATAACATTATTCTAGCATTTTAACTGCATGTTTAACTCAATGATCGGATTGTTAGGGTGTCCATTGTCATGCATCCGCAAATCCAGCCGTGACGGCGAGGAGCCTCCCAGAGGCCGCCAGAAGTATGAAGCATGTGCGGAACCCCCTGCCCTCCTAGACACCGGACGTCGTGCTTTTTTGTTTGTTTGCTTTGTAGTTTCTCCTCCCCGCCCCCTCGTGCATCGCGGTTTACTTCGCATCTGTATGTCCTGCACATGCTCTTTCCGCCAGCGCAGTCACTCTGCCTAGCCGCCGACGCCAAAACATTGGTTTTGCAACGCGGACCCCCAGAGGTCTCGACCCATGGCTAGGGACGGGCTCTTTTCATCCTGAGTTGTTCTCTGACGGTCCATGGGTCTGGACGCCCGAGATGGGCACGGAAAGAATGGGTACAATGCCCAACAGCAGTTCCTGTCCACTTTGAACAGGACTCGCTGTCCGCGCCGCCGCGGCCCGTGTCCATTCGAGACAGAAGGCCGCTTGCCCAACAGCGGCCGCTGTTGGTGTGGGACAACATTTGCTGTTGGGCATTGTACCAAATTTTTCCGTACCCATTTCGGGCGTCCAAAATGGGGGGGTGGGCCTCCCAGGAGGCAGACCAACACCAGGCGCTCCGCTGCGCTCCTTCCTCGCAGCGATGCCACGCCTGGGCCCGCCCTCGAAGCATCGGAGTGGGAGTATGTGTGTCTCTGTGTTTGCACGCAGAGATGCACACGTGCATGGGCGCATTTGAACGCAACGTAGTCCCAGACATCTGGCGTCTCGATTTTGTCGAGGCACGGGCCCCCGACCTCTCGACCACTTCCCCGGGACCGGTTCTTCATCCCGAGTCGTTCTTGGACGGCCCCGAGGCCCGTGCGAGGGCCCCGCGAGCCCGAAGACGACGACCCTTGTCTCGACTTCTTCGACACGCCCGCTGCGGCTTCCTTCCGAGGTGATGGGGGCAGCCTGCGCGGCCTTCGCGGCCGCGCAAGCCTTCGTGGGCGCCCCGGCCGGCGCCGGCGCCCGGGGCAGCCTGCGAGCGACCGTCGCGCCCACGCTGCGGCCGGAGGCCCTGGCGACGCCCACGAAGGGGGTTGGCGTTAAGTCGGGCGGGTGCCTCTACAGGATCATTGTTCAAAAAATAGTAAAGAATCGGTCGGGGGACGATTTGTTCACCATTTTTGAATATTGGTGGTGCATTTTTTGAGTATTTCTTATTTTTCGCCCAACATCCCCCTGTCGGGGGACATGCCTGACCTAAGGTTGGCGCGAGGGAGCAGCCCAGAGGAAGCGATGTACGGATACCATCTGCCCTCGTTTCCGCCACGTTGGGCCTCCTGGGAGTTTCTCGTCGCCACCGCTGGATTCGCCTCGCCATCCTGGTAAGGGCGCGCCCCGGGAGAAGTCCGGGGAGCAGCGGCATCGGCTTCTAGGCTTCCCAGATGGGGTCGGAGTGGATGGGGTCGGAGGATCGCGCCGCATCGCTGATACATCGACGAAGTATCGCCGATGCAACGCCGAGGCGGCTCGATCTGAAGCCCGATTTGCTTCACGTCGACGTCGCCCATGCATCGCCGACGTCGACGACGCACTGCCAGTGCATCGCCGATGCATCGCCGATACTTCGTCGATGTATCGGCGATGAGATTCGATCCGCCGACCCCATCTACTCCGACCCCGTCTAGGAGGCCTCTGGGTTTCTTTTTTGGTTTCCACAGGGTAGGGCTTTTCAGAGGGCGACGGGGGTTCTGAGAAGGCAACGGGTTTTCTTAGAAGCCCGTCTGGCGTCTGAGGAAATTCTCCAGGCAGCTGCCAGGGCCTCCTGAAGAAGGTACCTGCCCCAGAGATCCAGCGCATTGAAAAATCGAGACGCAGGTGTTTTGCAATTTTCGGCCTCTGGGGGCCCTCGCGGGGCCCTGGGACTGTCAACAAAACGACTCAGGATTAACCACGGTCCTGGGGTATGCGTCGAGACTTCTGGGGACCCCGTATTGCAAAATTGTTCGACGTTGGATCTCTGGGGCCGTCGCAAACGCCCCTCCGCTCACGAGCCAGAATCACACCCCGACCCCCGACCACGACGGGGATGAGGCAGACTTGCCGAGTGTGTGTCGCGAGTGGGGCTGAGGCATTGGGGAACGGCCCACGCTCGAGCGCCTGCCTCGAAGGCCGCCAAAGCTTCCCCCCCTCCCCCCGTCCCTGCACCCGCCTGTCAGGGATGCCCACGGGTGCCGGCGTCGTGGGCGGGGGTGTTTTCCTCGGCCATCATCCGCCGTCTTCGGACTTAGAAGCCCACCCCTTCGGTAGCAACTCGTGGGAGCCTTGTATATTCTCGCAGCTCCGTCTTTGCATTGCGCTCGCGTGCGCTAGCGTCTGGCAATCGATGAGGAAGCGTCGATTTAGCGTCGAGTAGCGTCGACTAGCGTCGGTCTGCTTCGATCCGCAGGAGCCGGCAAGACGGCATGCGAAGCTCACGCGAGTTGCTACAGAGTTCTTGTGGGCGGCACCCGTAGGCCGGCGCTGGCGCGCCGGCGTCGGGCAGCGGAGCGCTCGCCGCCCTCGCGGTGGGCTCGTTGGTCGCGGCCGCGGCCTCGCGCGGCGCGGTGTACCGCCGCGCGGAGGCCCGGAGGAGAATCGGCAGCAGACCCCGCAGTTGCGGAGAAGAGCGATCCGGGGCAGGGGTGGGGGGTGGCAGGCTCGGGGGGGGGGGGGCATCGAGTTCCCATCGCCCATTGGTCGCCGATGGGGGCCTGAGGGCTCACCCTGTCCAGGACCGTGCGGAGGCCCCCCAGGGCTTACCTGCGGCCTCAAGGGGTTCCTGGGAAGTTCCCAAGAGGGCTTCGAGAAGCGGAGGACGAGGAAAGAGTCACATGGGAACGAGGGAGAGGAAGAGGAAAGAGGAGCAAAGGGAGGAAGGATGGGAGAAGAACGACGTGAGCGAAAACAGTAGCACCCGGCAGTTGCGGATAAGAGTGAGGGGGCGGCGGGATCGTCGGCAGTCTGCAAGCCTCTGAAGAAGCCCGCCGCAGGCGCCCCGGTTTCTCCAACACATTCCGCAACGAACCCGCCGCGGGCGCCGATTTTCTCGTCAAAGCAACATGTGTGGGTCGCGGGTAGGTCGCGGGGCGGGTCGCGGGGTCGGTCGCGGGGTGGGTCGCGGGTTGTGTCGCGGGTGAGTCGCGCGGGGGTCACGGGGACGGGAGGACAACAACAACACTCAGATTCAGTGTGTTCGCCCACCTCTGCTCGTGTGTTTTTCAGCATGAGTGCCTCAAACATTTGGTACCCCGCACGCTTCGTCTTCGATCGTGCCCCCACCTGGGGGTATCTCCCCCTTACCTTCCACGTGTAGCTGTAAAGTCGGGCGTGCCCCTCTACAGGAGGAGTATTCGAGAATACTCAAAACAAATATCATGTGGACGATGTTCCATGCTCTTTGCACGATGTTTGATTATTGTGCGAGTCTGTTTTATTTTTCTTCCAACTCTGCCTGTAGGAGGACATGTCCGACCTCATTGCCGCTGGATCAGCTTGTAAGACAGGGGAAGGGAGGGATGAGAGACGAGGGGAGGCAGAAGGATGGAACAGGAGAGAGAGAGTCTGCGGCAAGCGAGGGGGGTAAACGCGAAGGAGAAGGCCTTCTCAGAGGGCGGCCGGACCCCTGAGAAGTCCTCATGCCTTCTGAGAAGTTTTTTGTGTGTTTTCGGGGAGGGTGTCGCAAACTTGTCAGAAGGCCGGGGGGCTTCAGACAAGATGCCCAGGAGGGTGTCAAACTTGTCCGGGAGGGTGTCGCGCTTCCGGGTTAGGAGCAGGAAAACAAACAGCAGAAGCAGACGGGGGGGTCGGACGGGCGGACCCTGACGGGTGGCCCCAGACGAGAGCGCGTTTCAAGTCAATGTGAGGAAATATCCCGCGTGATCCGTACTTGCGGTAGTTCGGAGGCCGACAACAAATTCTGAGGCGCAAGACTTCCCCTTGTAAGAAGCATGGTGGGAGTCCTAGGACGGGCACTGCATTGAAATAGCACAAGGGGCACCAGATGGGGGGGAGCAGCGATTCTGCTTGAGATGTCAGAATTCAACCACAACAACAATACTTTTAAGACTGTTCGTTCTCCTATGCTCGCGTGTCCCCCATCATGTGTATCCCAAGCCCTCGATACCCTCCACTCTCTTTGTCTTCTTCGATCGTACCACCTTGAGGGTATCTCCTTCTTATCTGCCAGGTGTAGTTGGAGCAGCCCATATAATAGGATAAGGGGAGGAGAAGGGACTGGACAAGGGCAAAGGAAAATGGATGGAACACGAGACATGTTAGAACGAGGGAGTTTAAACCAGGAGAAAAAAAGCTGCATAATCAGACGGGCGGGCGGACCCTAACAAGCGGGTCGGGCGGGCAGGCCCAGACGGCGGGGCAGAGCGGGCGCGATGCCGAAGTAAATCGTGAGGAAGTCCAGAGCGAGAGCGTGATTCCTGAGTGTTGAGGGCGCGGCGTCTGAATACTTTGCGTCTGAATAATCAAGCTGCGAGAAACACGGTTCCAGATCAAATTGAGAGGAAGCCCAGCGCGAGAGCACGATTTCGAATATATTGTGGGGAAGTATCAGGCGGGATTTGTTGTTGTGGTAGTTCGGAGGCCAAGGGGTCAATCTGAGCTTCGAGATCTGATTCCTCAAGACAGAGTCCAGCCCTGGGAGGGGCACTGCAATGGACAAAACAAAGCGGGCACCAGAGGGGGTGGATCAACAATAAGTATCTACAATTTTTATCAACAGCAGTGCTCCCGTTTAGGAGTTTTCACTTCTTGCTGAGGAGGGCTGATGTGGCGTCCGGCGGCTATGTTGCCGCCGCCGCCCCGCCGCCTAGTCGCCGCCCGTCGTCTTGGCTGGTGTGGCGGTCTGGCGGCTCTGTTGCCGCCGTTGTCTCCTTGTCGCCGCCTTGTGACCGTCTGTGGCCTGGGCCGGTGTACCAGTCCATCGGCTGTGTTGCCGTCGTCGACGCCCCGTCGCCGTCACGTCGCACCGCACATGGACGGCACACCACATAGATTGCAGAACAAACATTGCGCACCACATAGATAGCACCACATATATTCTCTTTTCTAAAAACAGAATAGACTCTCCCCCCCCAGGGTTTATCGGTCCGACTTGTCGTAGTGCAATTTGCACATGGTCCTGCCCCATCGTCCATCCTGAATATAAATTCTTACCATCCCAGCCGAGCTGGTATCGACCCCCCCCGCCATCTTCTGCAACAAGTACTATGCGCGCGAACTCGTTTATCAAACAATCAGCCGTTTTCAAGGATCCCTTGCAAAAAAACATGCGACGAAGTGCGCACACGCGCGTCGTCGCGCGCGCATGCCGAAGTCCTTCAACAACTTTTGGCTTCGGAAGGATTTCAAAATCGAGTGTCCACAAAACACATAAACTACACATAGCCAAAAATTGCGTGGGCGCGCGCCGCTGCGAATTCCTTAGAAAACCAAGTTTGAAACGTGCTACTAAACGGGCTTCGCGCGCGCATGTCGAACTCGTTCAAACGCCCTTGCGCGCGTGCCGTCGCGAGAATCCCTGTGCAAAAAATGAAACGACAAGCACACGCGCGCGTCGTTGCGCGCGCATGCCGAAGTCCTTGCACAAACCTTCGGCTTAGTAACGATTCGAAAACGAATGTCCAACACATATTCAAATCACATTAGGTTTCGCAACATCAGTTTTCAAAAAAGCTTGCGGGCGCACTGTTGCAAATTCTGGAGAAAACCATAGGTGTTTCAACATCTTCACGGAATTCTGCCAAATGCGCCTCTGGCGCCGCATGCCGACATTCGCACGCCCTTGCGCGCGTGCTAGGGGGGCACGATCCGTGTAACATAAAACCATGCGGGCCACTTTCGCGCGTCGGCCGCGCGCGAATGTCGAACTATTCCCAACACCTTCATCGCCGACGCGGGGACGCCGTCGTCGTCGTCGTCGGCGTGTTCAGCATCGGCGGCGCCTTCGTGGGTGCGAACATCGTCCCGAACATCGCTAGCATCACCATCGCGTCAACCGTAGTCGGCGTTGCCATGATACCGCGCCTGCCCAAATCGCCGACTCGCAGTGAAGTGCCCGCTGGGCTGCGCCCAGAGGTCAACACCACCGCGGCCGCGTCGGTGGCGCCAAACTGGCTGGCCGCTGCGCGCGCGTGCTGGGGTTGGCGCGGCCGTAGAGATGCGCCGGCCAACGCCAAGCATGCATCGCAATCGCCACCGCATGAGTTTTGCAAACCAAGTTGCGGGTGGTTGGGTGGGATGATTGCACGAGCATGGAATGTGTCAACTCATGGGTGAAGATCATTTGCGCCACATAGATTGCACCACGTATATTGCACCATTTTAGTCACACCAAATGTTTTCACCAATTATATTGCGCAACTTCGATTGCACAACATAAATTGCATCATGTCGAATGCACCACATCGGTGTGTATACGTACATTGCACCACCTAGGCTGGCCCCCATATGTTGAACAACATACTTTGCACCACATCGGTTGCACCACATGAAATGGCGAAGTCCAGGCATGTGCACGCAGATCTCATATTAAACCTTGTATATAGCACAGCAGGGAGTGCACCACATACATTGCCCAACATAGGTTGCACCATTGATACAGGACAACATCGATTCCCTTGTTTTGCCAAATTGATATACCACCTCTTCCCCCCGGGATTCTCGATCCACCCTGGGGATGTGCAGTTTACATATGATTCTGCCCCATCGTTCATTCGGGATATGAACGCATACCGTCCCAGCTAAGCCCGGTCCCTTCCAATCATCCTCGTCAAATGATATTGCGTTCGGTCTCGTTTATCATCAACCATCCACTTGCAATAATCTCTCGCAAACATTCGGAACACATGCGCGCGCGCATGGTCGCGCTTGCGTGCCCAACATTTAAAAAGTCATGTGTAGCGTAGGGGGTTAAAAAAACCGAGCGTCCCGGAAACATATAACACTTCATATGGTTTCGCAGCATGTTTCAAACAGTCCTGCGCGCTTTTGCGAATTCGCAAATAGACCACCCGTTTCTTCAACACTTTCACCACATGCGACCAAGCGGGCCTGTCGCGCGCGCATGTTGCAATCATTGGACCTGCCCTGCGCGCGTGCTGGGGGCACTGTCCCTGTCAAAGAGCACGATGTGTTCAATCGCGCGCGTCGGCCGCGCGCGCGCATGTCAAAATCCCCCCTGGACCCCGTTTTTTATCACCGACGCGTGGACACCATCATCGTCATCGGCGTTCTCAGCATCGGCGCTGTCATTGGCTTTGCCGTCGTCAATGTCATCATCGTCGCCAGCATCGCTACTATCGTCATCGTGTCTGCTGTCGTCGACGTCGCCGCGCCCGCCCGAGCCACCGACTCGCACTTCAGCGCCCGCGCGTCAGCATGGCCTGTGAAACGCGCTGGGAAGCCCCCAGCGGTCCGCGCCACCGCGGCCGCGTCGGCCGCGCCAGACTAGCTGGCCGCTCTGCGCGTGAGCCTGCGCGCGCTGACGGAGCCGAAGCGGTGCGCCAGCCAGCGCCAAGCATTCATCGCAATCGCCGCCGAATGGGTTTTGCAAAGTGGGTGGCTGGCACGATTGCGCGAAACGTGGAGTTGACATTTTTCCATACGAACGAAAATCCGTTATTCCGCTTCGGTTCTCTTTTCTAAAAAACAGAATAGAATCTACCCCTCCCCGGCGTTATCGGTTCACCTTTCCGATATTTAAATCATATATGATTATGACCACATGTCCATTTTAAATATGATCACTATCCCAGGGGGGCCGGTATCCCCCCATGAGGTTCCTTTTGTAAAAAGAAAAAACACTATGCGGTGACACTGTTTGCTTTAACATCGCACTTTTTCGCGAATCCCTTCTGCAACATATGCGACGAAGTGCACACGCGCGCGTCGTCGCGCGCGCATGCCGAAATCCTTCAAAAAACCTTTGGTGCCGGAGGGATTTCGCAATCGAGTTTCCAGAACACATACAAAAATTCATGGTTTCGCAACACAGGTTTGCTGAAAAAGCTTCCGCGCGAGCTCTTGCGAAATCTTAAGAAAACCATTTGGTTTTCCAAGATCATCAGGACATGCTAGTAAACGGGCTTCGCGCGCGCGCATGTCGAAATCTGTCGGACGCTCTTACGCGTGTGCCGTCGCGAGAACCCTCTGCAAAAAACGGGACGAAGTGCAGACGCGCGCGTCGCCGCGCGCGTATGCCGAAAACCTTCAAAACCCATCGGTTTCGGAAGGATGTCAAAATCGCGTGCCCGAAAAACCTACAACAAATCCAAGGTTTCGCAACACGGATTTTCAACAAAAGCGTGCGCGCGCTCTTGCGTCGTCGCAGTCGTCGTCGTCGTCGTCGCCGTCCTCCCTCTTCCCGCGTCGTCGTCGTCGTCGCCTACGTCGTCCTCTGTCTTTCCTCGTGTTCGTCGTCGTCGTCCTCTTCAGCGTCGTGGTCGTTTCCGTCGTCGTTGTCGCCGTGGTCGTCCTTCCTCCTCCTCCCTCGTCGTCGTCGTCGTCGTCCGTCGTCGGCGTCTCGTCGTCGTCTCTCCTATCGCGCCGTCGTCGTCGTCGTCCTCGTCGTTGTCGTCGTCGCCGTCATCCCTCCTCCCTTGTCGTTGTCGTCGTCGGCGTCGCCGTCCTTCCTCCTTCTTCGTCGTTGTCGTCGTCGCCGTCATCCCTCCTCCCTCGTCGTTGTCATCGTTGTCGTCGTTGTCGCCGTCGTCGTCCTCCCTCCTCCCTCGTCGTCGTCTTCGTTGGCGACGTCGTCGTCGTCTTGGTCGTCGTCGGCGTCGGCGTCGTCGTCGTCTTCGTCGTCGCCGACGTCGGCGTCGTCGTCGTCGTCGCCGCCGTCGTCATCGTCGTCGTGGGTTTTGCAAACCAAGTTGCGGGTGGCTGGGTGGGATGTTTGCAAGAGCGCGGGATGTGTCAACTCGTTTGGTAAAATCAATTGCACCATTCATATTGCCCCGCATCTATTCCATCACGTAAGTTACACCACGTAAGTTGCCAGAAGCATACTGTTTTGAGCCCGCGTTGGCTTACATGTTCGGAAAGAGATCCGACAATCGTTTTAAAACTGTTCGGTCTTACCTGTTCGTGTGTCATAGAAGATTTCTATCCCGAGCCGTCGATACTTGCTTTCTTCGTCTTCGATCGTACCCCCCTCTGTTGGTGTATATATTCCTTACCCAAAACAGGGAAGGACAGAGGATGGACGGGACAAATGGGAAGGAGAAGGTTCGGCCACGAGAGAGATCATCATAATGAAGTTATGAGCAGGGCAAGAATTGGCAGAACTAGACGGGCGGGTCGGGCGGTCGTACCCTAACGGGCGAGTCGGGCGGGCAGGCCCAGACGGCTGGGTCGAGCGGGTGGGTCGCTGAAGCATCAGTCCGGCATGGATCACGAGTTAGGATCGAGCGACAGCGCGATTCCCAACTTGATTGCCAAGAAGTCCACAGCGGGCGCGTGATCCCTGAATGCCTGATTGTCGAGGGCGCGGTGTTACAATGCATGTGCAGGATGTCCCACGCGAGAGCGCGATTTCTGTTTGAGATGTGGGACGTCCCGCGCGGGAGCGCGACTGCGAATACACTGTGAAGCATTATTAGGCGGGGGGCCGTTGTTGTGGTAGTGCAGGTGTTACGTGACAGCACAGTCTGAGGCTCAAACCCTTCCTCATAATTATTCGGGCGAGGGACGCAACCATATGCAGTTGTGAGCACTGCGCCTGTGAATATCGGCTTCAGTGGAGCACTTTGCGCGGCCACGGAGCGTGTGAGAGGTGTGCCGCTATGGGCTTGGGGGCGCATTTGGGCCCTGTCGTTGACGCTTCCGGTGGAATCCCCTGCGGGGCCACGAAGCGTGTAAGCGGTGTGCCGGAATTGGCCTGGGGGGCGCATGCGGGCGCTGCCATTGAGGCTGTCGGTGGAAGTCCCAACAGGGCCACGGAACATCTGAGGGGTGTGCCGAAATGTGCAAAGGCAGGCACGCGGGCCTTGCCACTGAGGCCTGCAGTGGAGCTCCCTATGGGGCCTCGAAGCGTGCGAGGGGAGTTCCAAAGTTAGCTTGGAGACGCACGCGGGCTGTGCCATTGGGCCTTCGTTGGAGCTCCCTATGGGGTCCCGAACGTGTGAGGGATGCGCCGACATGGTATGGGGGACCGCATGCAGTACCCCCCCATTGAGGAATTAGTTGGAGTTTTCCCCGATGTGGCTACCACGACACGTGTGAAGAGTATGCCGACATGGCTCAGGGACCGCATCACTCACTTCGGGCCTTAGTTGGGGCTTCCTTAGGGGCCACCACACGTGTGAGTGGTGTGCCGAAATGGTTGGGGGACCGCATGTGTTCCCCCCTTCTCCCCTGGGGCCTCAGTTGTGGCTCTTCATGGGGCTACGGAACGTTTGAAGGGTGTGCCGACATGGACATGCGGAGGTCAGAGGTAGGGATGGGAGGAAGGAGCAGGGAGGTGGGAGATTAGGTGAGATGAGGTGACGCGGGACGTTGTCTTTCCAAAACGAGGGCCCAACACCACAGGATGGTTGGGATAACAGGGCAGATGGTGCGCAGGTGCGCAGTCAGGTGGCGGAGTAAGGTTGCGCACCGTTCCAAGGCTACCTTTGCTTTGATTGGCGACTTTCGCTGGCCAGCCCCGTTCGCGAAACGCCAACATGGCCCTCCCAGGCTCTTGCATCGTTACCGTGCATCCTTAATATGCGACTGTAAGACCGTTCGGCCCCTTCCATTCTGATAAACATCAGCTGCTGGGAGGTCCGTGCGGGTTTCTTGGCTCGGCGCTGGACCCCCTTGGCAGCGCTTTTGACGTCGATCGAACAGATCCGCGTGCACATCCCTAAAGTTGATGCTGACAGTCGGCGCCAACAAATGTGACGTCGGCCTGCCGGCAGGGGCGCCGCGGACACTTCTTACCCCAGAAAGCCCCATGGACTCGCAGAAGCTCTGTGGCACCGCACTCCCGCAAGTACAGACAGATAGTGTTCCCCGAGGTTCCCCCCAAACGGTGTTTGCGCTCAGAGGTTCTTGCTCAGCTTTCTTCAGTAACTTGTTGGGCATGTCGGGTCTCGCCGCGATGCCGCCCGTGCCGCCTCGTGGGTGCCTCGTGGGGGCGTGTCGCGCTCGGGGTGTGCGTTGGGTGTTTGTCACGTTGCCGTCATTGCCGCCTCGGGGGCGCCCCGTGCCGCCTTTGTGGGCGCCTCGGCGGCGCGCCGTGCCCCTGAGTTTGCACGACGTAGTTGTTTACCACACGGCGTACACGCTATGCCTTACACCACGTAGCTTGCACCGCATAGGTTATGGTTCACTCCGCATAGCTCACACGACGCAGCGTACACCGTGTAGTTTGCGCCGCACAGTTTCCACCCCGATAGTCCACACCACATAGCTTACAACAGCTGTCACCACGTAGCTTGTGCAGCAACAGTCAGTGCAGTGACGCACTGTGTGGTGCCCACGGTGGAAAACATCTCGTATCAATAGTTCCAATCGTACATGCCCGCTGTATGCAGTGGTCTGCTTCTCTAGAGGCGGAGGAGAAGCCCGCGAAGGCGAAGAAGGCGAAGAAGGACTTCGAGATCGAGTTCATCCCCCGCCCGGAGGACCCAGCGCGCAGAGTCTTCCCCAGAGTTGCGCGCAGGTGGCCTCTGCCGGAGGGTGGGTCCACGCCGTTCCCGGCAAGGCCCCCAGGGGCAGTGCGATCCGCGCCCGGGAATTTGAGAGCGCCCCAAACTTCAGAGAAGGAAGAGATACCGTCCCTGATCATTGGATGCCCGTATTTTCTGGTCGCGGCCGACGAGATCGGTCGCTACCGAGCTTGCTTCAAATTCGTGTATCGGTCGCGGCCGACTCGCTTCGCAATCGGTTGCGACTGATCGGTCGCGACTGATAGGCCGCGATCGGTCGCGACCGGTCGCGACTGATTTTTGAATCGGTCGCGAGCGGTCGTGACCGACTTGGACTGCCGATCGGCCGTTACCAATCGCGACATAACAAAACACGGTATCCAATCATTCGGGGATGCCGCTTCCCGTCCAGCATGTCCCTCGGCGCCACGGCTGGGTTCTCCTCGAAATGTTGGTCAGAACGCACCCCGGGAGAGGCCCGAAGGGTCAAGGCATTTGGTACCTCGTTGTCCCTTCGCCCCCCAGACTACGCTCTGGGGCGGCTGAGGCCAGCCTGGACTGCATGCGAGGGCTGTCTGCGCGCAGCCCAGAGCCTTGCCGAGGACCTCCTGGAGTCGCCTAAGTTCCCGATGTTCATGGGGGGCACCAACGGCTACATGTCCAAGGGCACGCGCGAGCGCCACGCCATCACGTGGACCGCCAAGGAGGCCTTCGTGTTCGAAATGCCCATCCTCGGCGTGGCGGTCATGAACAAGGGTGAGAACCTGTGCTACTTTAGGAAGAAGGAGCAGTGCATTGCCCTCGGCAAGCAGCTCCGCAAGATGAAGATTGAGAACTACAAGATCTACCGCCTCAAGAAGGACGGTACCGTCCAGTTCATGCACCCGGCCGACGGCGTGTTCCCAGAGAAGGTGAACAAGGGCCGCGTGCAGGTCAACGGCCGCCCCTTCAACATCGGCCAGAGCCCGAAGCAGGTCGAGCTCAAGTACACCAAGTACGACGAGAAGACATACGAGGCAGACCACCTGACCACACTGTTCGTGAAGGCCCGCTGCGAGGCCTTCTCCGACACCGAGAACCTGTACGCCCTGCCCAACACCGGGCAGGAGGACTCCGCCTCGAAGGCGGCCACGGCCGCCATGGGCGGCAGCCTGTGAGCGGCAGCCTGTGGCCGCGCGCGAGCGGCGAGGCACCTGAGCTCCTCTGCTCTGGGTGTGCTGGCGGCGCTGCTCCCGCGCCTACAGGGCGCGACCCCGCCGTGGAGCAGGGGAGCGTCGACGGGATTTTTATACGGGCCTCGCGGCTCAGGGTGACAGAAAAGCGTGCTGCGAGTCGCATTCCGATTCCCAAGGGGGTGTCTGTCGGAGAACGCCAGCGACGGATGCTTCAGCACCGATCGAGGAACGTAGTCCGCCCTCCACACGTGTACCCACCGCCCTTGCCTCCACATGCCACACATGCGAATCCGGTGACCCTGTGTGCCCTGACGTCGGACGTCACAACCTCTTCGGGACGGCGTTCGGTCTGCGACCACTTGCGGACCCTACCCCTGCGGGTCCAATCGACGCCGGAGTATGGGACACCCTGCTGGGGTCCACCTGGCTGCAGACGCCCCTCGAATCTTGATGCCCCGGCTGGAGTTTCAGAAGTCCAACCTTCCGTCGTGATAGATCTGTCGCCATGAATCACATGGGTCCTGAGGGAAACGGGCCCTGATATTGTTATTGGTTGTTGGTTTCCTGGGGCCCTCCACGGGCTGGCAGCCTGTCGTAAAACGACTCAGGGCGACAAGCTGGTCCTGTGGAAAGGCCCCAGGGTCCAGAACCCGCTTCCCTCAGCACCCGTTTGGGCCCAAACCTGTTGTCGTGGAGGCGCCCTGCTCGCTCCCTCAGGGGGCGCGCCAGCTCCCACGAGCGGCGAACGATACCGCGGGTACGCGCTCGCACGGATACGTTCTGCGCGGAGCATCCGCAACACACAAACTCCCCGTATCCGCGAGGCCGTGGACACGGATATGGCTTTTCGCTTACGAAGCTTGGCATATCACCGCCCGAGGCCCTCATGACCCCCCTCCAGGAGGTCCCCGCGGGACAGGGCGGGTCGTCGAACCCAGAACCCGGTCGTGAAGAGAAACTCACACAGAGGATGTTTAGAAGTCTTCGGCCTTTGGGGGTCCTCGCCGGGCCTTGGGACCGTCAAGCAACGACTCGGGATGAAAAGCTGGTCTCGGGGAATGGGTCGAGACCTCCGATGGTCCGCATTAGGAGAAAAAAGAAAAGAAAAGAAAAAACGACGTCTGGGAATGGGAGAGGGGGGAGGAGCCTTTCGTTGGCTCTTGGATGTTTCCTCGCCTCGGGGTTCGAATGAAGGACATCAGCGACACTGGGAGGCCACGCTGTTGCAAGGGGGCGCTCCTGACTGCGAGTCCGCAGGACCATGCCGAGGCCGCATCACGCCGCCGTCCTCCGAGGGGTGCGCTTTCCAGCAGTTGCGCCTCGTCTCGAGGCAGCTCCCGCGAGATGTCCTCCCGGGCGGCCGTGGGAGGCCAGAGCTACGACCCGAGAGCCGCCGGGCTCCGAGGGGGGCGAGGCCGGCTGGGGCCACGAGAGATCTCCCAGATGCCATGCCCCAGCATCGCTTGACCAGTCCCTGACCTCATCCTGATCCCCATCCCGACCCCCGCCATCTTACCGCCCCAGTTGGGGATATCATATCCCCAACTGCCGCATCTGGACCTGTCTCTACATGTCTGCGAAATGTAGAGGCAGGTCCTTCCTGCCCCAGATTGATTGGCGTTTTGTCGCCGAAAGCTTCGCCAGTAGAATGTCATTACGGAGATATGCCTCTCGAACCCCCAAGGGAACAGCATCTATGGTCCAGGGTCTGGGGCCCCCCCATCCTCCCCCCCAATGGGTATGCCATCGGCCCCCCCCCCTCCCCCCCGAAGGGTCCCTCCCCCACTCCCACCTGTGGATGTGGTGTGGTTGTGGTGTGTTGCTGTGGGTGTGTGCGGGGTGGCGCCATGGTCCTCCTCCCCTCCCCCCCCCTCCACCCCCTGTGGGTGCGGTGTGGGTGTGGCGTGTGGCTGTGATTGGCGTCATGTTGACAGCTCCGGTGCTCGACGTCGTCGCCGTCGCCGAGGGTGGTGCCGTCGACGTCGTCGTCGTCGTCGTCGTCGTCGTTGTCGTCGTCGTCGTTGTCGTCGTCCCCGCTCCCCTCGAGTCGCTCCCCGGGCCCCGTCTCGCCTCGCCCCCGCCGCCGCGCGCGCGCCTCGGGCCGTGGTGCGCTGCGGCGGAGTCGGGCCGAGGCAGGAAGGCCGAGGTCGGTTCGGGGAGGGTGCCCTACAGGAGGAACAGTTAAGAATAGTCAAAAAATAGTATGGGGACGACTTGTCTTACTATTTTTCAATACTCCTCCTGTAGAGGGACGCGCGGTGCGATCCTCCGACCCTATCTTCTCGGACCCCATTTAGGAGGCCTCTATTGTCTGTTCTGTGTGCTTTGGCCGGCGGAGGGTTTCATGTTCTTGAGGGATGCTCTTCTGGCGTGGGTCCGACCGTAGCCCCCCTTCTCCCCAGGCCCCCGGCGTCCTGACTTTTGTCCTAACGTCGACTCCCAAAAAGAGGTCCCGACACATTCCCCGTGACGGGCTTCTCAACTATTGAGCCGTTTCTCGACGGTCCCGAGGCCGAGGCCCGGTGGGGGCCTCCAAAGGCCGAAAACAGCGACACCCCCCCCGGCGGGATGCTTTCATGACTCGAGGATAGGGGTCGACTTATCCCCTGCTAGAGGGGGGTCTGGGAGCCCCCTTGTCCGGGCCCCCCGTCCTCAGCGCCTCCGGGGCGGCGGCGGCCTGGCGGACCCCCTTGCAGGCCGGCCCCTCCCGTGACCGGGCCGCTCGCCTCGCTCCATGGAGCGAGGCGGCGAGGACGTGGGCCTCGAGTCGTCCTGCAAGGCGTGGGCCTCTGGTCGTCACGGGAGGGGGTCGTCACAGACGGGGTCGGTCTCGCTGCGCCCGAGTGGGGACCGGTGAGGTCGATACCGGTGCGGTCCGCGGAGGCCTCCGGAAGACAACACAGAGCCCAAGCCCTCCAAAATTCGGAACTTCGATTATCGAGGTTGGAGTCTGGGGGTTGGCGTGCGTTCGGCTCCTCCCACGAAGTCGTAGGCGCAGGATGATGTAAGACCCTCTTGGCTTCGGCCAGGAGAGCTGTGCCCTATGCCAGAGCCCACGGTGGCCCTTGCAAGGCGCGATGGTGGTGTGTACATGCCTTCTGCATGCCCAGACGTCCGACAACGTGTTCTTTTCAATGCGCGGCGGCAGAGGTCCCGATCCCTCCCCCAGGGTTCATGTTTGAAGACCCCAGAACCCGATAACAAGCCTCATAGGCCGAAACCGATGAAACACGCCGGGATTGAAGACATCATACCGCGGGGGATCTGGGAATGCGTGGTTTTTATGTCATCGCTCGGGCCGCAGGCTGCCGTTGGGGACGACTCTGTCAACCCTGGAACGCTCTCGGCGAGGCCTCGAAAGCACACCGAGCCGGGAAAACTTCCAGGAACCAGCGAGACCTTCAGACATCTGGCGAAAACAACGAGAAGGAGGAGGAGGAGGAGGAGGAGGAGGAGCAGGAGCAGGAGCAGGAGCAGGAGCAGGAGCAGGAGCAGGAGCAGGAGCAGGAGCAGGAGCAGGAGCAGGAAGAGGGGCAGGAGGAGGAGAAGGAGGAGGAGGAGGAGGAGGAGGAGCAGGAGCAGGAGCAGGAGCAGGAGGAGGAGGAGGAGGAGGAGGAGGAGGAGGAGGAGGAGGAGGAGGAGGGGAGGAGGGGCAGGAGGAGGAGGAGGCGGCGGAGGAGGAGGCGGAGGAGGAGGGAGGAGGAGAGGGAGGAGGAGAAGGAGGAGAGGGAGGAGAGGGAGGAGGAGGATGTGCCAAAGCACACCGTCGGAGATCTGGGCAGCGCGGCTCGTCCGCAGGAGGCGTGCCTGGAGGTTCCGGCCGCTCTTCACCACGGGCATGCCCACCGCGGGCCTGCAGCCCGCGCACGTGCTGGCGCCGAAGGGGGGGGGGGCGTGCTGGCACTCCTCTCCTCCTCCGCCTCCTCCTACCCCGCCTCCTCCCTCCCCCTCCCCCTCCCCCTCCTCCTCCTCCTCCTCCTCCTCCTCCTCCTCCTCCTCCTCCTCCTCGGCTGCCTGGGTCGGGAGGCAGGGGGTCACGGGACCGGGGAGTGTCCAAGAGCTTGGCATCGCGCGGGCGTGCGCATTGTTGTCGGCGAGGGCCATCGAGAAGCAGATGGGATCATCGGAAATGCACGGGGAGTGGACGTCCGAGCGATGGCGAGAGAGGGGGGTGATAACTGGGGGGGCTCATGGCCGGGGCTTTTTCTATCTCCCCAGATTGGAGAGGCTTCACGGCCGGTGCCGTCGACCCTGAACGACGACGACGACGACGACGACGACGACGACGACGACGACGACGACGACGACGACGACGACGACGAGCGCATTCGGGGGCCTCTTGGGGGTAGTTTTGGGGCCTCTTGGGAGGCTCTTGGGGACCTCTTGGGGATAGTGTGTGGGCCTCCTGGGGTCGCGTGGGGGCCTCTTGGGGTCTCTTGGGGGGCTTCTTGGGGGCATCTGGGGACCTCCTGGGAGCCTCAAGCCGAGGACTCGAAATGTCCATTCAGGTCCCCCGTCTGGGCTCCCTCTTGGAGCCGTCTCGGGGGCCTCTTGGGGCATTCTTGCCGTGTCTTGAAGCTTTGCCGGGCCCCAGAACCGCCCTCGGGGGATGCGTAACTAGGGGGGCGACCCCTCCCCAGGATCCTCCGCCCCCAGGCCCCCCCCCCTGGCGGGGAGGGGGTCAAGGAAGGGACCTCGACTCAGCTGCAACCTTGCTCAATGTCGATTTGGCGGGCGCACTTCGGGAGGACGCCCAGGGAAAGGAGACGGGGGACGACGGAAACGACGATTGACGGAGACGACGAGGAGACGACGGAGACGCAGACGACGACGGAGACGATGAGCACACGACGGAGACGACTTGACGACGAGGGCCCAGGGCAAGGAGATGGGGGACGACGGACACGACGATTGACGGAGACGACGAGGAGACGACGGACACGCAGACGACGACGGAGACGACGAGGACACGACGGAGACGA